TGTCTCTAGCCATTGGTGACCATCATCCCGAGGTCCCCAGCCAGGGAGCCTAACCGGGCCTACGTGACCTAGTCTCCTGGTTAGGGTTTTCATACCCTCATGCCAGGTCTTAGTTTGACCACCTTTGATCTTTTTCCAACCGCTACCTGCCTCGGCAAACATCGCCCGCCGTGGCAACCTATTCGGTGACATGCGTAAACATGCCCCAAGCAACGTAATCTATGGAGGTCGATCACTTGCTGCAGTGGACGACCGCGACTGCCTAAAACTCTACGCCTAATCTCAGCATTGCTCATCCGGTTACCCCATCAGACTCGTGGAATGCTACGTAGACAGCGGTGTTCGAGCACGGACAATCTGTTTTTATCTTGTCCCCGATAAGGCCAAGTCTCTGTGCCGTAGAGCTCGACTGGCCGAACTGCTGCAGCACACACACTCGACCCGTCACAGACAGCCGGAGTTCGCGATGGCGCCACAAATGTCTGACGTTGGCAAATGCCAACCGAGCCTTTTGTATCCGCGCCGACACTTCACCTGTGATGCGTCCTCCAGGTGAGATATAACTGCCCAGACAACAAAATTTGTGTACTTCCTCTACTACTTCCCCATTTAGGATGAGACTGGGTGTTGGACCAGCCCAATCTTGTGGTAGCATTTTACACTTTTAGGGTGAATTTCATAATCACGAAGAACCGGCAACCTAGGCCGCGCTAGGCTAGGCGCTATGCTAGGTGTTGTATTGAATTGTTCGACAGCACAGCTATCTATCACCTAAGTTGGCCGACGAGGTCCAAGCCGGAAAGAGTGACTAAACGACTGCTTCACCACCATTTTAGGGCAACGCTATCTATGACAACTAAACGCAAGTTACCTCAACAATCGTGATCGCGGTAACGAGCAATACGACCATTGGTCTGAACAGGTCAGAAGACGGACAAAGCGTGGCCAACGGTTTATAGGGCGAAACCTGCAGCGAAAGGTTTACACGTGCAACGAGGTAGCGTTACTGGGACAAGTAAAAATTCCGTGATTAAGCGTAAACAGGTAATTGCATTTGGTAAATCAAGCTTGTTTTAGGCAGAACAGGACTCGTAGGCAAAAGGTGTCAGTGCCGTGTTACTACAAGTGCTGCCCAGACAACAAAATTTGTGTACTTCCTCTACTACTTCCCCATTTAGGATGAGACTGGGTGTTGGACCAGCCCAATCTTGTGGTAGCATTTTACACTTTTAGGGTGAATTTCATAATCACGAAGAACCGGCAACCTAGGCCGCGCTAGGCTAGGCGCTATGCTAGGTGTTGTATTGAATTGTTCGACAGCACAGCTATCTATCACCTAAGTTGGCCGACGAGGTCCAAGCCGGAAAGAGTGACTAAACGACTGCTTCACCACCATTTTAGGGCAACGCTATCTATGACAACTAAACGCAAGTTACCTCAACAATCGTGATCGCGGTAACGAGCAATACGACCATTGGTCTGAACAGGTCAGAAGACGGACAAAGCGTGGCCAACGGTTTATAGGGCGAAACCTGCAGCGAAAGGTTTACACGTGCAACGAGGTAGCGTTACTGGGACAAGTAAAAATTCCGTGATTAAGCGTAAACAGGTAATTGCATTTGGTAAATCAAGCTTGTTTTAGGCAGAACAGGACTCGTAGGCAAAAGGTGTCAGTGCCGTGTTACTACAAGTGAGTTTCGAGCCTTATACTGTGATGCGTCGCACTTTCGGTTCTGTTTCTTGAAATCAGTAGCTCAACACGCATTCAATTTTGACTGTGGTGAAAAATTTAAATGAAACTTGGCAAATGAAACTTAGCAAAGGGGTCAGCGCCCGTTCTGACAAAATTAGATCTCATCATGCATTGAGTTTATACTCACTAGGTGATCTATCAAAATTGATCATACTCGAACAATGCAATAGTTACATACCCTGNTCACGATAACTTGCAATACGACGTGCAATGATAGCTACTGTCTGACTATCCCATTGGGGTATATGATCAACAGTACGTCACGCGACCCGGCCGATGAACTGAGCTCGTGTCACTTTATGTCCAGTTATTCTTGCATTGTGTACCGCGAGTTATAACGCAAACCCCGACTGTCCCAGTAGCGCGATTATCTCGTCAACTCTTTTGTGGTTTGTCTTCGGTTTTCACGACCGCTTTTAAACGATTCAAGTTACTGTCACTGACGTGCTTTAAGCCACCCGATTTCGGTTGTGGGCAGCTTCACTCACTGTCTTCTGTGCTTTTCCATCAGGGACCCATTAGGGTCAAGCCAACTTGTAGTGCCCAGGTTGTTGCTCGTCGAGGTTGCACACCAGGTCATCGTGTTTTGGGGCTGTTCTTTCTTTTACCGTTCTTTATATCGCACATTTTGTGTGACTATCAGCAGATAGGGTGGATTCCATCAGTTTCAGTTTTTACAACCATGCACTTTCGTGCACCGGTTTTGGTTGCTGTGTTCTGGTGCCCTATTTGGATAAAAGAGCACGATGGAGATTGGGATGTCGAAAGCAAATTCAAGTGGAAGATGAAGAATTCATATAGGATGGTGTTAAGGGAATAATGAGTGAACGCACGAACGCTACTGTTTGCGACATCGAGCCGTATCACTCAGTGTCTCTAGCCATTGGTGACCATCATCCCGAGGTCCCCAGCCAGGGAGCCTAACCGGGCCTACGTGACCTAGTCTCCTGGTTAGGGTTTTCATACCCTCATGCCAGGTCTTAGTTTGACCACGCCTCATTGAATTTCTATCAACACACTGCCTATTTTTATTTAGCCAATTGTCTATATTCCGTGAGAACCATTTTTGATAATTTGGATTTACAGTTCTGTTCATAGATTTTCGTTGATCATTCTACTATCCCTGTTAAGAGAATGAATTGCGGTAGCGTTTTACTTTTGCATTCTTGGTATTTCCGGTGGTCATTCGATTTCGGGAAGCAGCAAGCAGGTCGGGGTGATTGCGTTCTTTTCTTTGGTGTTGAACGTAGATTTTTGGAGAAAGTTAGTTATGGTGTTGGATTGGAATTGTGCATTCGAACGCTGTTTTGTCGGTTTGATAACGGGCTTGTTTAATTTCGTTACAGTTACAGCGAGGATTACCGGGAATGAAATGTCTTATTTGCGTTCTATTTTTGGCAACACGTTTCTTTAACTATCTCGAACTGTGTCGATTTGTGTAGCGGTTAACGATGCATTCCAACGTCGTTTTCCCCTCTTTTCGCCCATATTGTTTGCCCACTTAGGCTCCCAATATACAATGCTAAAGTTGATACGAAATGGATGTAGAAAGGCATCCTGTGAGTTGGATCAGGGGAGCTTAGTGCTTTCATTCGCCCTATTTATCGCGGACTGCTGGTCGGCTGTCAAAGCAATATATAGCACCGCACTTGGAGTGCACTTATCCACGGGCCGAGAAGCGACGTGAGTGAGTTTCGTGTATGTGGTGTCATTTTGGGGCTAACGTGATTTTCATAATCCCCATTTTTTATGTGGAAAATAGGGAGATTAGAATGAATGAGAACTTTTCGCTTCTACGCTGATTAAACTGAAGAACCGATTGACGAAAAAGCCGGTTTTGCCCCTTTCTGTTGGTTGCTCTGTTATTCGATCCCAGATCTCGTTGGAAAGACTCTACTGCAGTTGCACATCGCAACATCGTGCTAAGGGCTCACCCGATTAAGACCACGTACGCATTGTCGGTATAAAATTCACTAGTCTCATCCAATATGAAATTCGTTTACTATTCGATAGTAACTATCGGTATGTAAATATTTGGACGAGTGGCGATGTTGGGATAATTGCTTTTACATGATCCACTGACCCGCCTGCGATTAGACTCACTCCGTTCGCTGATTGCATCGAATATCGAATTCATATAAGACCAGTGACACGAGTTCACAAAGTGGTCTACTACCTCGTTCTATTCCTCCAAGCATTCTAATCGTATGATGGTTTTCGTAGATATCTTGAAAACACCTAATCTGCTTTGAGTGCTTCCAATCCAACTTCACAATCCAACTAAATAATGGATTTGTGAAACATCCTTTTCTCAACTAACCAGTGTGTGATATGTTCTTACGCACCTCATCTCCCTCCACTAACCCTCGCATTCACCATCTGGTCTCAAGCAGTCCATTTTCATAACATATTACCAAATTGTGTCTTCTAACTCAAACGTAACCCATAACCAAGCTCAAATCATTCAACTCACTTGTTCGTCAACTTGTGCCAACGACTCATTTTAGCTGGGATGTTCGTTTGTTTGGCATGACTGGATAAACTTGCGTTTGCAGCTGAATCAAGGCACGCGAAATTGATGACCGACATCTATTTGGTGCACATGTCCCTTTGTGAAAATGAAATATTGGATTTCTTTAAATTTTACCAAGCATAC